ACTCTCCTTTGTGGGTCCTAGACTTTATACAGATGCACAAAATCTCGTAGGAACAGACAGGCGAGAGAGTAGAAGTGAAACTGTCTGGAGGAACAAAGGGGACGAATATGGAGGAGAGGGAGGAGAAAGGTGAAGGTGAGTGGGGGAAAAACGCTACAAGTGTGTTACATACTTACATGAAAATGGCTTTCCATAAGTCAGTTTAACAAAACAACGATCAACAGGCCGGCCGGCTTCGCTGCAGCCATCAGCAGAACTCACGGCTGAAACCCACCGCCTCCCATCCCATCCCAAACTGCTTCACCCTGTTGGAGACTCTCCAGCCACCACTGATGCCATGAATAGATTTCCTTTCTGGATTTGATGCCTTGAACTAGAGCAGAGGGAGGAGCACTGGGCACTGCAGAGTTCATTGCTGTTTAACGATTTGCTGTCTGCGTGAGCCAGTGACCCAAATTCATGCCCTCTGGTTAAAAAAAATAAATAAATAAAAAGAAAGGGGAAAAGTGAAAATATACCATGGTCCCTCAAGGCACCCTATCTACAGAAGTTTTCCTCATCTAAGAGTCTAAGAAAACATCTGTGGATAATTCTTCCATCGAATGCCCCTCTTGCTCGTTTTAAGAAGCGGCTCTGTATCGCTTTCCTACACGGAGCTGTGACGGACTGGAGGTCGGAGGGAGACTTTTCGATTTTAATTCTTACCTTGCCATTCGCGCTTTGTCGAAGTCAACCCTAAAGCAGCACATTTTAAAAGCACAAACTGAAAAGAGCTCTCGGCATCCCTCGCATGGAGATAATGACTCTGTGATGAGGGGTCTGCCCTGCATGTTCTTTAATCTCCTGGGCCTTCAGGGAAAGCTGGGCAGTCCTCTCAGTCAGCTCCAGCTTGCTTCTTAGTCCTCTCAGAGGAAACTGGTCCAAACCGAGGGAGTCTCCTTTCCTAATCAGCCTGCTACCTTGACTTTCTGTGGAAAGTCTCACATTTTATCACAGTTTATCATTGCTGTCCACGTGACAGGATTTAAACTGGAAAGTCTACCCTCAGTGTTGAGCGAGGGGTGCCATCCCATTGGCTACAGTCACAGAATAAATAAAAAGGAATAATAACAACAATAGTAATAATAATAATAGAAGAAGGAGGAGGAGGAGGCTGAGCACTGGCATTCATCCTTCTCTACTTCCTGACTGGGGATGCGATGTGACAGCTGCTTCACACTCCTGCGGCCATGACGGACTGTACCCCTTTAAACTGTGAGCCAAAGGAAATCCTTCCTCCCTTCGATTGCTTTGGTCAGTTATTGGGTGATGGCAAGAAGAAAAGTAAGTCAGTTGACAACCACACAAACTCCCTCCATCCCACCTAGAGACGGAAGCCCAGCACCTCTACTCTGAGAAGATTGGCCACGGAGGCCATCATCCGATTAAAAGGCCCCACTGATGAGGTCATCACTGGGTCTCTTCCTCTGGAAGGTCCTAGTTGCTTTTCTCTGTCATCACACTGATTCTGAGCTGACATGAGGCTTTCAGAATGCCACCCAGGCAGAATGAGCCCTGCAGGAAAGTCTGCTGCACTTGGCCCTTCCCTCTGCCACCATTTATCTCAAGCATGTGCTCTCAACTCACTCCTCCTGTCACCAGGATCTGAGAAGCACGGCCAAAGTGGATGTCTGCTGAGGTACATCTCACACCCACAGCCCTCGGTACAATGGCCATAGCTATGAAACTACCGTCCAGACTTCTGCATCCTGAGCGCCATCCCACACACACTGTGTGGATCCTGGAGTGTCTCTGTACAGATAAGGGCATCACAGGACCTGGGGACCTGGACCACAAAGTGCCTTTCAGTTCCCTTTTGGCTCCATGGTACAGGGAAGCCACAGATCCAACTCTTACAACAGACACTCAAAACACACTTAATAAAGAGTCCCTTTAGGAATGGAGGCAGCCTTCCAAAGGAGCCATGCACCGGATCCTCTTTCTCCTCCTCTTTCCATGACTTCTTCTCCAACTGGGGGTTCACAGACATTATCTCATCCCGGGGGCTCTGGTGGTGACAGACAGGTAACAGGGGGAGCAGACTGCTTTCCAGTGCTCCATTGCTGAAGTCAGAGAAGGCAGTGGCCATGCTAAAGGTACACAGCGAGCCAGGAGAAATCCCCCGTCCTAAGTCCACTGCACTGCTCCGTCTGTCACCGGAGTAAAGCCGAGCTTGCCCTTGACATTTTGGTTTTGGTTGCAAAATGCTGAACACACACAGAGGAAGAAGTTCTTCCTGGACTCCGTGTGCTGAAACATGAGAGTTGCCTCTGCTCACTTGCCCACACCCCTTTCCTCCTGCCTACTCAAGTTTGGCCACACTCACTTTCAGCAGCTGCCAGGCGAAGCCCTGGCCAACACCTTGTCTGATCACACACCTTGCCAATGCCTTTGGCACACACCGCCATTGATCCGGCAGACCAACTCCCCTTGAAAAAGCAAGATGCATGTAAGCCCCAGAGGTGGAGAGGTTAGAGAGGGCTGGGAGTTAGCAGTACACATGAAACAGATTCTTGATGATCTTTTAAATCATGCATCGCAGCACTGAAGATATAAATAGGGGAGTGTCCGTGTGCCACACATTCTGTTCGGCACGCTCGTGCATCCTTCATTTAATAAGAGCATCCAGAGATGTCCCGGCCCCTCCCCCACCACAGCTGGCCTCCCATTCACAGTCTGCAAGGCGAAAACTGCCTGCCGCCTTCCCTTTCCACTAACCACCTCCAGCTACAAACGCAAGGCCATCGGCCGGACCCTAGCTATGGCTTTGCTTCTCAACACGACAAGGTCAAAGGCCTTTCACAGAGCCTCCAATGAGGTGACTGGCGTCTGCTTTCGTCAACTATAAGTGAATAATTAATACTTGCCAGTAAAGAAACAGACTCATTGTTATGGTGGCCACGTGGAGGCTACAAAAAGGCCATGTTGTGAAGCGCTGGGTAGAACCCTGGGGCGAACAGTGGCCCAAAGAAGCCTCGTGGAGCATGGAGGCTGAGGCTGAACTGGGAGGACAGGAGCCCTATACTGTTCTACAGCCACACTGGGCCCAATGCTAATTAGCTCGTTGCCTATTCATCCCCTAATTTAGCTTTCAGGTCGATGACAGTCTCAGAGGCCCACTGTTCACAGAGGGGGCACAATAATCAGAGGGTACATGTCCTGTTACTGGGGCCCTGTACTACTTGTTAAATTACTCCTCCATGTGATCTGATTGAGCAAAGATCTCCAAATCGAGACAGCTGTATAACGCCACCTTTGGCCCGATGCCTAAATTGGGCTTTTCCTTTCCATTTTCCACCACACAGCCAACAAGGCAGTCTTGGGTTCCTATACAGCCAGTCGGATCTGGCCAGGAGATATAATAAAGAAGCTTACTGAGCTAATGCCACTGGCCTGGGGCTCAGTAAGCAGAAGCACCCAGAGGCACACTGGCTTTATACGCAGCAGCATGCTCTTGTGGCCTCATAAGAGTCAGGGCAGATGGCAGCTAGCTTCGGTGAGGAACTCTCTATGGGAAAATTTCACACCCCACAAGTAGACACTGGTGAGCAACAAAAGCCTTCTGGCTACAGTAACCCCTGACCTATTGCCACAAACTAACTCCCTCTCCTCCCCTCTCCTCTCCTCCCCTCCCCTCCTCTCCCCTCCCCTCCCCTCCTCTCCTCTTCTCTTCTCTTCTCTCTCTCTCTCTCTCTCTCTCTCTCTCTCTCTCTCTTCCTGCCCACCAGGCCATAGCAGCCCTGACTCAGAATGAAGCCGACAGCTGCTAGATATGCCATTTTGGTGACAGGATCACTCCCACATCTAGCCTACATCTGAAAGTCAACCATGAGAGATATCAAATATTTTGCCTTCTGCTTTGCTTGTCTCCCATCCTCAGCTTCCTTTCTGATCCCATGACTTCAGAGGCACCTGCTCTGCATCCAATAGGAAAACCTTTTGTATCTAGCTCTTCAAGATAGACACCACTCACTGGCTCCTTTCTCAAGCAAGTTTGACAGGAGAGAAGGAACACACGGAGCATTTCGTGGAGGGGGAGAAGGTTCTGGAGGGGGTATGGTGGTGGGGACAACTACCTCAAGGACTTTACAATCCTGACTAGATATGAACCTATATTTTCGTCTTCCAACAAGGGAGGGGGTGCACTGAATGCTAGGTATGGGTTCCAGCAGGGCCCGTGCCCAAGAGTAAGACTGGTTACTTCCTGCCCTAAGGGGCGGGGGCAAGAGGTAGAAATGGTAGTTGAGCAGCCAATACGCTCTTGACTTGAGCCCCTGCCTGCTGTTTGTCCCCCAAGTCCTCCTGCCCAACTGTGGAGCTGTGGCCACTAAGAAACTGGGCAAGCCAAGTTCAAAGTCAGGTTTCCTAATCAAGGAAGCACCTGGACGGTCGCGGTAGAAAACCATCATTTGCCTGGACCATCCTCCCTGCCCCCACTCTTACCACAGGCTATTCCTTCCCTTCCTGTGCACACAGGAGGGTTTACTTCCCTCAGGTGATATGACCATCACTCACAACAGACAGGTGGGAAGCTACACGTGAAGAAAATCTTGCCTCCTAGGCTTCCCTCACCCTACCTCCTCCCTCCCCCACAGTGAGCAGAGAGAGAGAGGTGCTAGCATAGGCCAGAACGCTTCGAAGCAGGTCAGCCATTCCTCCCGGCTCATTAGAGCCCTCCTTTCTCAAACCGCGCCGCTGCGGTCCCGGCCCCGCCCGGCTCCAGTTCACCGGGGGTAACCGGTACCCCACAGCCTACCAGGAGGGCCCAGGCGGCTCTAGGTGGCCTTGGCGGAGTGATGGTGGCCGCGACCGCAGAGGCGGGGACCGGTCTCTTCTGTACCTGGGCGCAGGGATTTGCCCCCACCCCCTACCCCTGGCTCGTGGCCCCTACAGGTGCCCCTGGTCCTCAAGACTATCCTTGTCTCCCCTTGGGGTGGGCGGCCCTGGCCCAGGCCACGCACCTGCTGCTGCTGCTGCTGCGGACGCCGCGGGGACCTGCGCGCTGTACCGGCGCCTCCTGGGAGACGCTCTCTGCCCAGGGCGCCCGGTACGGCGGAGGGGAGAAGGGGCAGCGCTGGGCCTGCAGCTGGGCCTCCAGGGACCCGGGGCCGCGCAGCCTCGGGCGCCACGCCAAGCGCCCCCAGCGGGCTGGGAGAAGTGGCGCCCGCCCCTCGCGCATCCTCAGGAGCGCATCCTCCGCCCAGGCAGCATTTCGGTTCCCGCATCAGCCCCGACATGTCCAAGAGTCCCTTACCTGGGTCGGTGGCAGGTCGAGGTTAGGGGCCCGAGGCTACCGCAGGGCCCCGCGCCGGGGCGCAGGATGCTTAGCCCCGCTCCGCCGCTGCGCCTGCAGCCCGCCGCGCCCCGCCCGCGGCCCCGCCCCTCCGCCCGCGGCAGCTCCTCCCCTGGCCACCGTGCCCGGCCCCTTCGCCGCGGCTGCTGTCACACAAAGAGCCGGAAATGGCTGTGGCGAGGGGCTCCCTCCGCACCCCTGACCTGCAACCTCCTGCTACCAAGGGCCGCGATGGACTCATACCTTCCGGCTTTAAAGCACTCAGCTTCCCGACTCTGGAGGTGGAGAAGGAGGGACGCCTTCTCTGCAGCTGCCTCCATCATCAGAGACACCTGCCACCCCAGAAGGAAGGAAGCTTCGGCTTCATTCGCATCTCTCCAGTGTCAAATTATTTTCAAGTCGTTATTTCTCCATCACATCTTTATCGACTACCTGTTTTGTTCCAAGCATTTTTGTCCAGAGCCAAGTATGCACTGGCGTACAATAGAGCCCCTTACCCACTTGGAGCTTATTATCTGCTACCATTAACTGACCTAGCAGAGGTCCAGTGACAGCTGGGGAAGTCAGCTGAGGAGCAAGCTGAGCTAGGGGTTGGGCCCTCCCACTAATTGAGCTTGCTCCTTAGTGCTCCACCTGTGGTCAAGAATAACTTCTACGGCCTGTGGCTTATAGCGTGAAGGCGCTTTTTGCTAAGCCTGAGAGTCTTGTTCAATCCCAGGATCCACATGATGGAAGGAGAGAGAAAGCTACCGTAAACTGTCCTCTGATCTCCACTCACAAGCGCTCACACACATATTCACACCCATGTCTACACATGCACTCAATAAGTGAATGTAATAATTTCAAAATAATGAGAAACGTCTCCTACTTTTCCATTTCTTAGAGTAGAACCCTGCAGCTATCATATACTTTTTTAAAGCAAGGGTCTGTTTCAACCTCATCCAGGATGAACTAACTGCCTTGTGGACTAAATCGTGATACACGGACTTTGAAGCAAACCTAGAAAAAAGCTGAGGAAAAGCTTAGGGCTTTTCGAGGAATCTGTGCTCCTTGAGATGCAGCCTGGAGGCTCTTAGATAGTCCTGACCTGTAGGCAGGTCAGCATGGTGCTGCTCTGATTGGGAGATGCAGCTGTACCTGCAACGGAGGGAAAAATAGTTGACCTCGGTGCCTCTTAGGGGAACTAATTGGAAAGTGCTTGAGACATTGGAGTAAGTCTTTAGAAATAAGGAATAAAGTGTAGTAATAAGGCGGCTGGGATGCTGGGGACGCAGCCCCGCCGCCTTATTAAAATGGTGCCCAACGTGGGGCTCGAACCCACGACCCTGAGATTAAGAGTCTCATGCTCTACTGACTGAGCTAGCCGGGCGGCTGGGGTGCCAGGGACGCAGCCCCGCTGCCCCATATTACTACAATAAAGTCTTGGGTCGAGGGAACCTTCTGCAATGCTTGTCAGAGTTCACAAATTTGGGCGAGCCCAGTTGTTCCCTATAAATGGCTATTGATGATAAACCACTTTATCCAGGTCTCAGGAAAGTACTTGAGAAGATTTTGATGATCTCACATACTTCCCCAAGTGCTCAGAATTCATGATCCTTTGTGGTTTGATGTTACATCACCCGTCTAATTTAAATTGCTATTTCAGAAGTGATGACTTACATATATAGCAACACACATACATTTTTCCCTCTCTGATGCCATGTGAGAAAGCTGTGGAGGTGTTTGTGGAGGATGGCTTTAAACACAGAACTCAGGTTTCTTTTTTAATTATTATTCATTTTTTTCACCATGATTGTCAGAATTTTGATCTGCAGTGACTACACATGCTTAGGAGTGAGACTCACAATTCCGCGGGGGGGGGGGAGGTGCTTCATCCTAAAGAGCAAATTATTTGGAGTGTTTTTTGTTAGGAATATTTCTTAAGACAAGCCTCATCGCTGATGCAAAATAACTCCAATCAGACCAAATAAAAGATGCCCATATTTAATGCAATGCTCCCAGGTGATACCAGGAAAGCAATGAGAGGAAGAGAGAGAAGGGGAGACCACACAAAACCCAGAGACCACGTGTTCATTCTCTGGGGGTGGGTAGTTTTAATAGCACGTGGGAGTGGTCTTGACCCACCCTGGGGAGGGGTCATCGTCTGGCAGGCTTTCTCGGAGGTGGACTTTGGACTAAGGCAACTCCCAGAGGAGGGGTCTTGACTTTGCGCCTTTCGGGGAGAATTTGCTTGGAATCAATAATGTAAAATAAACGACATTTATCTTATATATGGCTATATTTTATGCAATTTCATTTTCTTTGGCTGTTGAGTTCTGCTTGATCATGGAATAGAAGCAGCATGGATTTCCTCAGTACTGAATCAAAAAGCCGGAGACTTGCCTTTTTGTTTGAGTTTTGCAACCAACTGAAGAGTAATCTTCAGCAAGAAATTCTGTGGTCCCCCTTGCCCCGCCCCGTTTCCCCATCGATAAATGTAACCAGCTTGGCTACAGGCCATCATCCCTCTGCACGTAGAGAATTGCATGAGTTAAAACAGAGGGCTTTTCCACCTCAAAATTAGGGTGCTTTCTTAGCTTCACATTGCCCTTGGATGGAGCCCAAACTCTATAACCTAGTAGGGGGCCTCATGATCTATTAGGGTTCTTCCCATGTGAACAAATTTGCTATGGCTTAATGAAAAGGAACCCCTTTTAGTTCCCCAAATTTGATGTGTCCTATCTTCAGTTTGACCCTCGTACAAGCCAAGCTTCTTGCTAGGGAGGCTCAGTTCTCCCAGTCCTTCCCTCTTCCACGCTTTCTTCCAGGTCATCTGCTTGACTTTTGCTCATCCTTTTGGTATTTCCTTAGCTGTCACTTCTCGCAGGCTCCTTCCTTGGCTGACTTAGGTATGGAGTCATTGTCTCTGTTCCTGTAGTTCCCTAGTCATCCTTCTGGGATTCCATTTACTGTGCTGTGTTGTAGCCGTATCTACACTTTCCTGTATCCTACATTAGGCGTTATCTGAGAGAGCGGTGATGTTTCTGTCTTGCCTCTTGAAGTATCCTCAGAGCCTGGCCCCGAGTCTGGAAAAAAAGTTCAGAAAAGCAGTTGAAGAAACAACTCAAGGTGAACCTTTACCCTTTGCCATTGAGATTTGCTGTTGTCCACTACCCTGAGATTGCCTTCCTATCTCAACCCAGTGAGAGGATTGGAGCTACTGAGTGAGAACTGTTCTGATATTTGTGAAGCTAGACATCATGTATTAGGTTCCATGAACGGTGACAGCACTGACTTGGAGAAAATGACTTAGGTTATGTAGTCTCCACTGGAAACCGTCACCAGACACTGCTTCCTGGCCACCAGCAGTGGAGGAACTTGGAAGGAAAAATACAGCATAAAACTATTAACCGGTGCATCGCTTCATTTAACTTCCACAATTTCTCCATTAGGAGAATACAATCCTGTGTTTCACTCTATAAATGAAGCAGAAGCCCATAAAGGAACTTACCCAAGGTAACGAAACCACACCTATGCCGTCTGCCGCAGTGGCACACTTCACTTCCCGTTTCCAGAGAAAAATCTCCATATTCATATGCTATTATTATTCTAAAAACATTCTTTTAAAAAGATTTGTTTATTTATTATGTATATAGTGTTCTGCCTGCACACCAGAAGAGGGCACTAGATCTCATTACAGATGGTTATGAGCCACCCTGTGGTTTCTGAGACCTGAACTCAGGACCTCTGGATGAGCAGCCAGTGTGCTTAACTTCTGAGCCATCTCTCCAACCCCCCCAAATCATTCTTAATATACATTGTTGGGCTATAGTAAATTAAAGCTGAAATATAAAAGAGCTGATGAGCTGGCTTAGTAGGGAAAGACACTTGCTGCCAAGCCTGGTGATTTGAGTTTGACCCTGGGGATCCATTCGGTGGAAGAAGAGAATTGACTTCCAGCGATTGTCATGTGACCTTCACAGGTGCACCACGACATGCATGTGCCCACACACAGACATAAAATAAGTAAATGTAACCAGTGAGGAATTTTCTAAGAAGGAAGATTAAAAGGGGCATAAGTGGGAGATGGAGCCAAATCTGAGCATCATTTGAAATGGAACAAGAAATAACACTGTGTACTCACTAGGTAGCCCTTCATATTTGTTCTAGGCATTTATATTGGTAGCAAGTAAAGAAACACTTCCTAATCAGTGACATAATCAAGATGGGTTGCTATAGAGTGCTCTCTCTATATCCATTCTCTAGATGGGATGCCAGGCCCAGAAGGGGGAAAGGTCACAAAACGGTGGCTGGTCCCAGACTCTAATTCTTCCTCTAGGGAACTAGGTGGCCATAGTCTTCCTTAGACTCTAAAAGAATCTGCTAAAGAAAGCTTTCACCTTGCCCCTGACATTCACGGACTGCTGCTTTGGCCCCTGTCCTCACATCAGGGCTTTTGTGTGGACGGACTGCTTTCAAGCTCACGCAACCCTCACGTGTAGCTCTGTTGTGTTGCAGATGGAACTGTAAGAACCTGCTTTCTGTTGAGACCTTGCTACTCCCCCCACCTGGAGGAGCGTCCCTTCTCATCCCTTCTCTCCCCACTGTATTTCCGGCTTTGCCTTTGTTGCCGACACAGCAAGAGGCCTAACCTCCCGACAGTGAAGAAGATTTCATTTTTTATTTAAACAAATCCTATTTACGATCATTTCAGATAATAACTAAAAAGGAGGACCTTACAAACCCTGAAAGTAAAACCCAGGCACCGTTCCTAGTTCCCCTGCGCTCTCCAAGCCAGTGGCTCCATAATCCTGTCACTGAATGGTTGAGGGCACTGGGACATAGAGATAGCCAGGGTTGAGACCCT